AGAACCCACCTTAGCCACAGACTCACTTCACTCCTGGTACAGAGGTGTGCCGAGGAGAGTGTGTGTCCTGGACATATTAGGGGGTCTTTTTTAAAGCAGGGAGATTCCATCTTTAGATATTTCTCTGTTTGACGCTAAAGAACTGCACAATCTGGTACCAAGCCTCTTTGGATTTTGACTTGACTGCTCTTGAAGACCATCCTATTCCTTCCCTCAGCTGCCCCGTAGACACACAGATGTCGTTCTGTCACTTCATACCCAAGAAGATGGATTCTGGGACCCCAGGTATACCAGAATCTACACTGGGATAGCACTTTGTCTCTAGGTGACTTACAGTACCCGGCCCTGTGCAGTCGCTATGTAAATAGTTGTGCTGCATCACTGGGGGATGGCGTCTAGGGGAGAGACTATATGTGTTCAGAACAGGTGCAGGGTTTTCTGAATACTTTGATCCACGGTTGGTGGAATCCAACTGGATGTGGAATGTGCAGATATGGAGGGCAGGGTGTTCTCTGTTTTAGCAGTTCCTGGTGGCACTGTGATTGTTTGGGTACTGAAGTGCACATAGCCTTGCCCTGGTGCCGGACGCCAGCACTCAGGAGGCGCATGTGAAAGGAAATACACTGTGTCTAGCGTGGGTATAATTTCCTTTCCATCAACCTTGACCACGTCCTTTCAAGTTCCTCATAAAAATCGTGTGTTCGCCCAGAGAATACCCTGGAATGATGTGCAGGGAGCGGATGAATGAACTATATATTCCGGGCCAAACTGAAATTATCTGCCGCTGGAGTCGGAGCAGAGCATAATGCAGCCCAGGTTAATAGATCAGGGGAAGCTGTTTTGTCAGCTCGTAAAAAGGTGAGGGAACTAGATTTTTATAATAAATCGTTCTGCTGAGCAAACAATATGTGCGGTTCTTGCGGACTTTGGAAAATAAATGATTTTAGACTAATGTCAGGCTCCAGATGGTGGGCGGCCGTGGAGCCTGTGGAATGAAAAGAAACGCATCTGGAGGCTGGGCCAGGGAGGCCACAGAGGCCACGGTGTGTCATCCCCGCCTGAGGACCCCTCCTGGTGGCTGATACTCACCTGGGGGTGTGCTCGTCCTGCTGATTCAGGGTGTGGGTCTGGCAGGGTGGATGTTGGGAGGCGTGGGTGGCCGCTTTGTGTGCAAGTGGGTTCTAAAGACAGAGAGGCTGTTCTTGGTCCAGGCTCACAGGTGCCGGGGCCACGCCATGCGCCTCCCGCTACCCGTTGCGCTTCAGCTCCCACCCAGCTGGAGCGAGCCGTGTTCTCTTTGACCTTTTAAAAAAATGCCCCTCCAAAAAATTAGTAGGGATCCTGCAAATGACCTGAACTCGGCCTCTCCTGCGGGATATCCCCGCTCCCCACACTGTCTCCTTTTGGGGTCAGGAGCTGCAGCCCCCTGGGCCCAGCTGTCAGCACCGTACCTGGTTTGAATAACCTGCCCCACGAGGCAAAGCTCAGGGTGGTCATCGTCCTCCGAAAGCTGGGGGAGGACAGGAGCTGCTGTCCCCATGAAAGGCTAGGGCAGAGGTCGTTAGCACGCCCAGTATTTTGGTCAGTTCGGCAGTTGCTTAGGAACCCAAGTTAAACTGACCTGTAGATGGAAAACTTGAAATTCATTTCCAGGGATTGCTGCAGACAGCTGAGAAGGCACCTTCCTGTTTAAATGTGACTAACTTTTTATAAGTGACTTGAAATATTTCAGAAATATGAGGCATAGTTTCCTAGATGTTAAGAATCCTGATGAACAGCCAAGGCCAGAGTCTCCACATCTGCAGGGAGCTCCCAAGCCCACCTGGGCCCCCTGACCCAAGACTATGGGGGCACCACTCCCAGCCCTCAGCACCCCAGCCCAGCCCTGATGCCTCTGTGAGGCCAGCCTCTCGGAACCCCTCTTCCTGGTGCTCTCCCAGACAAGGGGTGGGGAGCCAACCCTTTGCTCCAGATGTCCAGGATGGGGATTACACCCAGGAGGCCTCCTCCTGGCACTGCTGCCCCTGGCAGGGAAGGGGAGGCCCAGCTCTGGCTGGACGGATTCCTGGTGGAGGGGCAGCTGAGGGGAGTCATCAGTGAGCAGTTGGGGGCCAGAGGCCCTCCCTTCCTTCTTCAGCAAAACCTACCGGACCCCTGCTGTGCGTCTTTCTCTTCCATTCATCTTGGCACTCACAACAGGGCTTGCTTCTCTGACCTCCCTGACCTACCCACTGCCCCAAGGGGTCGCTGGCTCTCCCCAGGGTATCAGAGCCCAGAGGTAAAATGGCTGTCCTCTGAAAGACCCCACACCCCTTGGTGCATGTGACCTGAGGGGACAGATGGGCCACAAGAACAAATCAGGCTGAGAAATGGACTCAAAAAACTAGGTAAAGCAAAAGGTAGGCTCCGTGGGAAAATGAACCAGGTGGAAACAACAGGTTTGGAGAGGACCCAGAGGAGCAAAGCAGGAAGGGGGGGCACAGCCCTGAGTGGCGGCACAGCCCACAAGCACTCAGGCCCTATTCAGGAAGCCTCCAGAAGGCTGCAGGAAAAGAGCAAAATAGAAGACAAAGGTGGAGTGACGCCGAGGACAGAAGCAGCTCACTTCCGAACGATGAGTCTCAAACAGAGCAAAGGAAGCATTGTCGACCCAGGGAGGTTAGCTGCGACTTGGGAACAGCCCACAAAGGACCAACGGGAGCGATTCACAGAAGTCCCTGCCTGGACATGCACTCGGGCCTCTGCTCACCCAGACCAGCGGGCACCGCTGGTTCTGCAGCCGGCTCTGCAGGTGCCCCTGAGGGAGGGAGAGGCGGCTCTGCCCTCTCCCTGCAGGTCTGTCTTGGGGTGCTCGGCAGCCACGCGGCACTGGCGAGATTCGTGAACCGCGTCTGGGTCTCTGCCTGCCTCCTGGCGCCATAAGGCGTGAGGTGTCAGACACTCAAGGAACCCGTGAACCAGTAAGCGGATGGTGGGTGTCCGGGACGTCTGGGGCATCCGCCATGTGCGCCTGGGCTTCCTTCACTGCCGATGAAGAACTGCCTGATTAAAGTTCAGAACTGTGTGTGAAACTTGCACAACTGAGAGGAGTCATAGCTTTGTTTCCTTTTGTGCCTGCTGGGGTGCAGCTCTGCGTCCTTCATCCTCAGGCGGTGGGGACAGGAGGTGGCTTTCTGCCTGGACTCCCATCTTCCTCTTCTCATGTTTAGGACCCTTGGCTCGTTAATGATGGGTTTTAATCCTCCATGGTTATTAAGAACGTCTCTGCTCGGCAGCTTTTCCCCAGGGCGTGGAGTTTGGGCGTGGGATGGCCCCACAGACTGTTCCGTATATTAGCCCACTGCCCCCGTCTGCTCTCGCCCAGCACCTCACAGCAGGGGCCCAGTTGGGTTTTTATCTCACAGAGACACTGCCTTCCCCATGAAACCGTCCTAAAAATAGCTCCATTTAACTAGGCCATTCCACGGCTGTTCCAGACTTTACTCGGGCCAGTCTGAAAGCAGCTACTATTTCAGATACAATGCATTGAACCTGATCCCAAGGTGTCCAGGCCACTGGGAGTTGATAAGATTGCCTCAGATCCCCGCATGCAGAGGTGGGCTGGAGAAACCCCGGCCTGGACCACTGGGCAGTCCAGGGACCTGAAGACGTGCGCCTGCTCAGTGTGAGGAGAGGGCGGGTCCCCTGTGCAGCACATGCCTCCTCAGGACCCTGAGACCCACCTGCCTGGGTGCCCTGGGCTGTCCCAGGGAGTGGACCTGCCTGGGCCTGGCAGATGGCACATGCAGGCCTATGGCCCATTCCAGATACAGGGCCAAGTCCAGGGACCGGGTACCAAGGAGACACTCAGCCTGGCCTTCAGAGAGCTCACCGTGTTTGGGGAAGCCAGTGAGGGAGAGGGCGTGTGCCACAGCCTCAGACAGAACCTGGAAGGACTGGGGAGGGCTGGGAGTAGCAGGGCCTGAGCAGAGTCGGCTCCTGCTCAAGGTGGAAGTTGTGGGGACACAGGGCCACGGGGATGAGCCCTGGGCAAGGCTGGGTGGAGGGCAGGAGCCTGGGTGTGGGAAAGCTGTGGCACAGTGGAAGTGGGCAACAGAGGGCGCCCAGGTACACGGGACAGAGAACAGGGCCCAGAGCCCCAGCCAGGGCTGGTAGCCGTCACGTTGTCTTGGGCTCCGAGGATATGCTGGCACCTCTCTGGGGTCACAGCCACTCATCCTGTGTCCTCACAGGCGGTCAGCAGAACCTGTCTCAAGGGGGTGGTGGGTTGCCCTGTGTCCTCTTCCAGCCACCACAGGCCATGGGCGTTGGCAGCCTTCCCTGAGGGACTGCTCTCCCCACTTACGGTGGTATGTGTCAGGACCACGTGCTGGCCTCACGCTGCCCAAGGAAGGACTTTGAAACACAAAAGCAAGACCCTGGAGACTGTGCTGCTAGGGGCAAGCTGGGGTGCAGTGAGCCCAGCCGTGTCCCTGCCCCCACAGCGCCCCCCCACAGGCTCTCCACCCCGGCCCTCCTCCCACCATCTGACTGCCTGCTCTTGTCCCTTCCATCCTGGCAAAGCCTTCTTTGCTAAAGGCCTTTTGCCGAGGGCCTAACCTGGCCCTTCCCAACTCCTCCTCTGGCCCCTTTGCCCCTGAAGCCTCCCGGACTCCCTCTCCCCAGGAGAAGTCGTCCCCCTGTCTCCCCAGAGCGCTCTGTCCAGAGCTCTGCTTACCAGAACACAGTGTATTTTACCTCTTCTGTCTCTGCTCCCCAGACAGAAGGTCATCAGAAGAACGATGCCACAGGCGGGCCACCCCCAGCAGGAGCCCACCTCCTCCCTGTGGCTGCTGGGACCCCTCGCGGGTCTACTGGGTCCTTCCCTCCCCCGTGCTGGGACCCCACCTCGCCCAGTGAATGTGATGTCCTGCCTAGCACTGAGCCGGAAAGCCTGTCCTGTGTCACTCCTGAGCCTGCCTTGTCGTCAGCTAACCCACTCTCTCCTCTCACCTTCCTAGGGCCGACGAGATCGAAATGATCATGACCGACCTGGAAAGAGCAAACCAGGTAGGCTGTCCGCAAGCGTTGGGCAGAACTGCAGCGGCACCCGTCCTGCTGACCCGGCCACCTCGCGCTCAATTGGAGGCTGGTTGTTCTGGTGTTTTGACCTAACGGTGTCGTGTCGGTCTCATGGTGATGTTGTGTGACATTGGAAAACACATGAAACTCGCAGCTTCGTTTCCCTGGCAAAGGTTTGCTATGACCGGAGCATCTTGGTCATCCCACGGGGATGTCCACTCCAGAGGGGCTACTTTTTCTTTTTCAAGACCCTCTGTCCCTGCGGCACATGTTACATGGTAGAGTCACATGGTAGAGCCATCTTCACAGCCACCTTCCAGGGGGTGCAGTCTCTTGATTTGGAGGGGCAGCTGGGTGCAGCCCCTGTTGCCCGGTGCCCAGTGGTCAGACATGCTCTTTGGGAAATGCCCAGCACAGAACAGGTGCCCAGGATCCGGTGGTTCCAAACATCAGCTGCCTGGACAGTCCAGCCATCCCACCCCTGCCCTCTGCAGGTCACAGAGCACCTCACTTCAGCAGATGCTGCTGCCACCGCTTAGAGGGACAGGAGTCCCCCACGTGTGCTCCTCACTCAGTTTTTCAGCTGGGTGGCCCCGGGTTGCCCAGGGAGCATGCTCGCCTCACCCCCTGGAGCAGAGCGCTTTCCAGGCTCCCTGAACTCTGCCCACCCTGCAGAGGCCCCACAGGCTCCCGCCTTTGTGGGCACTGCTCTCCCAGGCCAGGGCCAGCACTGGGGAAGGGCCTCAACATCCCTCCCCTACAAGTCCCCTCCCCCACAGGCTAGAGCGGCAAAGTCAGCTCCAGCATGGGACCGGCTCTTCAGGACTTCACCACGGGTGTGATGTTGGGCCTTACACCCACCCTGGATCTGGGGCTGATGGGGCAGGGGTGGGTGGGGGTGGAGTCGTGTGGGGTGAGTGGCCCGGTTCTAGTCAGAGCTCTGGAGCCCTGGCCTCTGCCTAGGCCCGGTCCACACAGCCACACAGCTGTCCACTGAGGTCAGTGCTGTCAGGATTCCCACCGTACACTTGGGGAAGCAGGTTAGTGGCTGGTCAGGTACAGAGCCAGGACCCGGACCCCCGAAGTCTAACTTTGGAGGCTGTGCTCTTGGCCACCTGGAAACACCCAGAAACAGGGTCATAGAGCACCTGCCACCAGCCCCTTATAGACTGTGCCATTGCCAATGTCTGCCCTGCTGTGCCGGCCCCTCCCTGGCTCAGTCCGCATGGCCGCACGTGGCAGAGCCCGAGTTAGAAGTAGCTGCTGAGAGGAGTGCATCATCTTTGTCACCTGGTTGTGCTTGTACTTCTCAGATTTCCTCCCAGGCTCCCCCAAGGCCTGCCATGGGCATAGCCCCCTTGGACTGGCACCTTTGGGTAAGCCCGGGTCTCTCGGCAGACAGCCTGAGTCTGTGAGCATCAGGTGCTCTGTCAGAACTGACCTTAGGAGGGTAGAGGCAGTCCTCAGGTAACAGAGCCATTTGGCGATTGGTGGTGCCCTTCTCAGAGTGTCTTCAGGGGCATCAGGCAGGGCCATAGAGACAGGTGCCACTCTACAGTGACACTTGGTGCAGCTCTAACTTGGACTTCCTGGTTGTGTGGATTTCTTAGCCCCATGAATGTCTTAATCTTAAAAAAGAAAAAGGGAAAGAAAAGAAAAGATGAACCTTGAGGACATTTTTTAAGAAAATAAGCCATGCACAAAAAGACATCTACTGTGTGACCCCACGGACGGGGTGTCTAGAGGAGATGGAGTCATGGAGTCACCCAGTACAGCTACATAGGTCAGGGACAGGAGGGGGGACATGGGATGTTGGGTAGGTGGAGGTGCTGTCTTGCAGGATGGGAAGGTTCTGGAATTGGTTACACACCAAGGTGACTGTAGCTGACACTACTGAGCTGTACGCACTGGTGTAGCGATGGTGGACCTCACACTGTACCCTACACAGCCGAAAACTTTAAACACTTGAGAGGACAGAGGGCCACAGCAGCTGGAGCTCTACTCGCCTTGTGAGACTCTTCAGAGGTGGGGGAGTGCGGTGCGGGGGAGGGGACAGGCCTGGCAGGGAACCCCGAAGGGGCCTCCCCTGTGAGGTGCAACACTGGCACTGACGGCCCAGCCTGAGTTAATAGCCTCAAAGCTACCCCATCACTACAGAGTTTCTAGAACACAGAGGGTGGTCAGCTCAGGGGCCATTAGTCCATGCCCGGGAAAGCCCATTTTGGACTAGAAGCCATAGTAAAGAAAGCGGTTCCACAGTCTGGCTCCACTCCACAGCCAGGATCGGGGGACCCTAACACCAAAGAAACTAGAGGCTCAGGGCCATTCCTGGTCTTTGGAAATCAGGGAAAGAAGGGTCACAAGGCTGGGGCTGGGGCTCAGTGACAGAGCGCTTGCTTAGCACGTGTGAGGCCCTGGGTCTGATTCTTAGCACCTCATAAAAATAAGTAAAATAAAGGTATTGTGTCCACCTACAACTGAAAAGAGCTCAAGGAATACCTTCGGGAACCTGGGGTGCTAAAATATGAGAAAGGGGCTCTGGGCAGGTAGGCGGCAGGGGGGCTTCCTCCTGCGAGGAGCAGCTGGAGCAGGATACGGGTGTATGCTCTGGAGGCTCTATGGCCATGCAGAGTGGATGGGAGTGGGAAGACTGGAATCCAGGAGCACCCTAAGTAGCTATGGTGACAGGGCACAGAAAGCCGCAGAGCCCAAGGGGAGGCACTCCCCACAGATGAGGGCTGGCCCAGAGCAGAGCTGCACAGAGCTATGCGCCAGCCGCCTCCCTGCCGGGACCCCCAGGAGGAACGATTTACTAGTTCATTGGCACAGAACATTATTTCACGCCAGGTTTATAGCAAGACGTTCTCTGAGACCTGAAGCTCTATTTGCTTGCTCAGGTGCTGGTTTCCGTCATGGAAACCCAGGCAGCAGCTGTCCGTAGGGAAGGTCTCCTTGACCCCTGTTGGCCCGACGTCGAGGCCCTTGCACTAATATTCCCATGTTAAGTGTGACCATAAAGGTGTAGAACTCCGAGGCTTCTGGTAAAGAGGAGCAGAGGTGGGACCGCCAGGTCTGCCCTGCGCTGGATGTCCCTCCCTGCAGCAGCCCTGGTTCAAGTCGTGGGCAGCCTGGGCAGTGGGAGGAGGAAGCCATCTAAGCAAACTGTCCTGATCCTGTTGACCTGTCTGGTTTTCATGGCTCAAGACTGCCTTCGGGGAAGACCCTTCAGTCTGAGGTTGGGGCTGGAAACCTCAGTGGAGCCTCAGTGAGGAGAAGGAGCCGGGCAGAGAAGCGCAGAACAGAAGGAACTCGCAGGCCCTGCGTTCTGGGGCCAGGTTTCACGTTCCCATGGGCGAGGGTGCCTGGCTCCGGGGCAGACACCGGCATTCCCCACCCACCTGGTTCAGCAAATCCCCAGCCCCAGGCCTGGGCTTCCTGTCCATGAAGTGAGGGAAGTGCTTCATTCATCTGTTGCTTGGACAGGCCTCTCTTGGGGCTTCTCTGTTGGGGCTCTATTGGCCACTCCTAGTACTGAGGACACGCTGGCCTCCCGGGCTGTCCAGGGCCCTTCCACAGAGCCAGCCACGGACATGATGGTGCTGTCTTAGGCCCCCTGGGAGCCTTGGGTTCCCCCGCCATGAATGGACTTCCACCAAGGTCAGGCGCACACTTGGAGGACCTGTGTGGCAGGCAGAGTTAGGCTGTTTGCTTTCCTGAAACGTGCCCCAGCCTGTGACATGCAGCAGGTACACAGGTGTGTTGCTCTCCTCGCAGCCTCAACATCCAATGTGTCCCCGGCAGCACCGGCCATGGCTCTGAACTGGCATGCTGCCTGTGCAGTGACCGCTCAGACATGCACCAGAGTTTCTCCTCTGCGCCTCCTCACCTCTCCCTGCAGTCACTGATGGGGCTCTCTCCAGCAGTCTGGATGCCGTGGAGGGACATGGTCCCCCATTAGCTTGCAGGGCTGCTGGGTCTCTTAGAGTCTTGCTCCTCTTGGGTCTGCCCAAGCCCGTGTCTGATGGCCACACACAAACAGAGCAGGAGAGAGGAAACCTAGGGCCACCATCACCATCCAACAGAACCAGGGAATCAGAGCTCCTAAGGAGGAGGCCGGGAGGGGCCTGAGCTGGCACAGGTCCTCTGTCTCAGCCTTGGCCCTGGGGCTGCGGTCCGGAGAAAGCCAGGCCGAGTCTGGCCTCACCAGCCCTGCCCGCTGGTCCTCGCCCTGTCAGGCTGGCCCTGGGCCTGCCTTCCTCTGCCGTACCCTGCCCTAGGACACTGCTGACCGGTGCTGCTGCCCATTCCCAGGTCACATTCTCACGTGTGTCCCTCTGGCCCATCTGGCCCCCAGGAGTGCCAGGCATCAGGGAGTCAGGCATTTCCCATGGACCTGTTTAGGTGGCACTGTGGGCCCGCAGTTCAGGCTGCCCACCCTGAATCACCCAGTGTGACACCGGCCAGGGAGCAGAAGCTCTCCTGTGACTGCTAGGCTGTCGGCATCTGAGGTGGGAATCGTCACTCAGTTTGCTGTCCCCACTCGGCCCCTTCCTACCCTCCAGGTGGATGCAGAGGTGGCAAGACGGGGGATAACGAGGACCCATTTAGTCCTCCAGTGGTGTCCCTTTAGAAAGTCATCCATTCTGAGACGAGGACAGCGTAAAGAGGCCAGACGGGCCATGCCACTGTGTGGTGGGCATAGCTGGCCCTGGGTTTCTGGGCCCCACTGGCCCTCGGCCCCGGTGGCTGTTCTCTATCAGGCAGTCAAGGCTGCCACCAGAAGGCCAGCACTGTCCCGCTCACCCTCTTGCTCACCTCCGCTTCCCACGCTCTGGTGTTTACCCCATTCCTTAGGAAGGTGGATGGTCAGCAGGAGGTGCCTCTCGGGACCACCGGGTTCAGCAGAGCACTACTCACTCAGGACCAGGGCTGCTGCCAGTCTGCCTCACAGAAGTGTGGCCTATGTCCCCATGGCTCTGAGCAGCCACACTCCAAGTCTGGGGTCAGATCAGAAATCACCCCTGTGACTTCTTCAGGAAGACCTTGAGACAGGTGGCAGCACCCTGGAGGGGGACCACTTTGTGCCTCAGCTGCCCATGCAAGCTAATGCAGCCATCACTGCAGACACTGGGTCGTCCCGGCTGCATGTCAGCCTTCTCTCCCTGTCCCCCGCTCCCTCCTCCACCTGCGATGCTTGTGATTCTTCTGGCTTGTGCCTGTGTAGCCACATGAGCCACATCAACCAAATGCCAAATGAAGGAGTAACCAGAAAGTCACACTGAAGTAACCAGGTCAAGCCAGAGAAGCTGTGACTGGGAAGGGACAGGCCGGAGCCATCATACATGAACTTGGGGACTGGACGCAGGACAGTCTGGAGGGTGGTCAGTGGCTGGTCAGGTCTCTTGCTCTGTGAGCCGTGGCCTTCACAGAGGCCATCCCTCTCTCCTGATGATGCCTCCTGAACCCGCCCCCAGGCCTCCCAGCCCCACCCAAAAACTAGCGCCACAGTCAGGCCAGTGGCTCCACCTGGCTGGCTGCAGAACAGTCTCCTGCAGGCGTAGGAAGAGGGACTTAGGGTGTCAAAGCACACCTCCATCCTGGAGAGTCACGGGATGCTGTGCCCGAGGGCTTAGCTGACTAGCAAGGGAAGACGATACTTCGAGGCATGTGGCACAATGATCAGAGAAACTTGAAAATAAACTGAGGGAAATGTTTGACATTAAAAAGGAAATCCTCCACAGCCCTGACGCCGAGGACCGAGATGGCCCTCACTGTCCTCACCACACCAGGCACGTGGCCACCTTTCCCAGTGGCCGGGCCCGGGTTGTGTTTGGAGCAGAGACTCTGGAAGGACATGTTGGGCACCGACACGTGGCCAGGCACCTCATGAACTAGGTTCAGGGGGTTTCCGAGAGTTTCCTATACAGCAGGGCAGGTGGCCACCCGCCCGCCAGCCACGTCTGCGCTCAGGGAGTCCTGGTTTGTCTGTGTGGGGAGTGTTAGGTGTAAGGCTGCCACCGCTCAGTCACTGAGACTGCCAAATCCTTCTTCATCCAGGTAGATGGGCCTGTGAGGACCAGGGCAGGACAGCTGCTTGCTTCTCTGTGTTCTTGCTTTGCAAATAATAGACACACACTGTCACAGCTCAAGATAAGAAAAACAAAATACCCCTGCTCACCTGGGCTTTCCTCCTTGATCTCTTCTGTTGGTGGAATGTCACTTGCAAAATGTTTGAAGAAGGGCTGGGGTTGTGGCTCAGGGGCAGAGCACGTGCCTAGCACATGTGAGACTGGGTTCAATTCTCAGCACCACATTAAAATAAATAAATAAAATAAAGGTCTGGGTCCATCTGCAACTAAAAAAAAAGAAGACTGAGGAAGCGCAGTCACCCTCAGTCCATGTGCCCCCATGTCGTCATCTGCTGTTTCCCTCCTTGGGGCTTTGTCTTAAACCTAACTGTGAAGCCGGGGTGAGCTGCCTGAGAGGCTGCCTCTGCACATGTCCCGCGTGCTGAGTGTCCATGGCAGGACCTCGCCAGGCCTTGGAGAAGGCATGTGTTCCCGTCGCACAGACGGGTAGGTGGAGGCTCAGAGGGGCCCATCCCCAGAGCCCTCTCGTGGCGTAGCTGTCCTCTCCATGCAATGGGAAGGTGGCTTTGCAGCAGAGGTGGTTTCCTTGTCCTGGGTCATAGCAGATGATGGAGGGCCACACGTTTCTCCTGCCACCATCTGTGCTGGCCCTGGCTACCCACCCTCCACTGTCCCCAGGCTGACCTGGCCGGCTGAAAACCCAGCACTGATTTTCAAAAACGATGCCTGGTGAAGGGTTAAAAATGCTTGAAGAAAGTCCAGCCCTCACAAAAGAAGTGGCCTTTCCACCCGGCTTGGGGATGGCCAGGCCTACTGGGAGAAAAGAGCCACCGCACCGCCTGGTTTTAAGGCGAGAATGGCCAAAGTGTCTTTAATTCACTGTTTACCCGTGAGAATTACTCCCAGGAGGAATCCTGCAATAAAATCTTCTCGGTCTATGAGAATAGAAAGAAATTGAATCAGAAGACTCTATTTCCACTGGTATTTATTCAGTCTGGGAAATTCAGTGGTCCGGAGCATTAGTATCAGCAGGGGATTCCTTGCTCCTAGCGTTAAATTACTGTCATAATCGCTCAATTATTTCTTCCTTGTACTGTTTAAAATAAAAATCCATCACATTCTATGTTTTTTTCCGAGCATTTATTAGGTTGAGTGTTTAGGAAAATCAATTATAGTCAGTCAGGCATGAATTGATGAATGTTCTTGTAATAATTGTCAGTTGTTAAACCGGGTGTACTTTCTCTCTTCGCCCCTTTTCATTTCCTTCAGAGGGCAGAGGTGGCTCAGCGAGAGGCGGAGACCTTACGGGAGCAGCTCTCCTCGGCCAACCACTCTCTCCAGCTGGCCTCCCAGATCCAGAAGGCGCCGGATGTGGTGGGTAGCTCGCCTGTGGGGCTCCGCCCGGGCATCTGCGCCCTCGCCTTGGGGCCTTTCTTCCTGGGGGTTTTGACGCCTCTTTTGGAATAACATTGCACCAGTGCTGCACTTTTAACAACTTGAAGGGAGAACCTGGTCCAGGCTAGGAGACGCCGCAGCCTCTGGGCCGGCCTGATGCCTCCCCAGTGCTGAGGGCTCCTCCCCAGCCCAGCCTGGGTCATTGCTGGGGGCTGCAAGGTGCATAGGGGAGCCTCCCCAGAATTCCACAGGGCAGTCGAGGGTCTGTCCTTCTGGGGCAACCTTCCTTGGGGAGAGTCCACAGTGATCCAGAAACCCAAGGGGGTGTAGAATAGCAGCTCACCCTGAGTTTGCCAGCCACACACAGCCAGGGGGAGCAAGGCATGAGTCTCATCCTTTTGCCCGATTTTTCTAAAGGTAACAAATAGCCACAGCTTCCCCAGCATGGTCAAGGAGATTTTGAGCATCAGGTTCCTAGACTCCTTCGGCTTGGTGCAGTGTGGTGGCTGAGCCCCAGGTGTTGGAGCCCAGAGTCACCTCCCTGCTCTGTGTCCGTCAGCTGGGGACAGCGGCTTAGCTTCCCTGAGTGTTTGTCCGCCCATGAAGACTGGTCTCCTGAGGTCAGGAAGTTATGTCTGCCATGCTCGCAGACCTCAGTGAACCTCAGCGGGCACCCTTCTTTGGCTGGTGCCATGCTCCCTGACCCCAAGGCTACGACATAGAACTCCACCACTGGATTAAGTGATCCCAACTAAGGCCCCTTTGCTCTGATGGCCACAGTGAGTCCCTGGCAGTCACAGGTGTCCTTCGATTTAACAAAGACTCGCAGAGCCCTTGCTGCTGCCTGGCGTGAGGGGCACTGGGGTAGTGAGGAGGAACAGGACCGGGCCCTCCACAGAGAGCACAATCTCGGGAAAACTCGCTGCTGTGGAAAGTCCCTCGTGACAGCCAGTATTCCACTAACCTGTGAAGCAGGGTGTTGCTGTTTCCTTACCCAGAGGAGGAGACGAAGCCCAGTGAGTGTCAACAGCTGGCCCCAGAGCACGGTCAGTGGCTGAGCCAGGACTCAGTTGGCTCCTCAGACACCTGAGACTGGAGCTTTTAAGTGATCACCAGGACTGGACCTAGAGCAAACGGCTGGTGCCAGGACTCCTTCTTTTAAGAATGGCTTGTGGCTGGGCTGGTATGTATTCATACTTACAGGGCTGGGGTTTTCAGGTGGAGTGCGCCCAGTACACACGAGGCCCTGGACTCAATCCCCAGCACTACAAAGACAAAAAAAAAGAATAAGAATCGGTTTTAGTTTTCTTTCTTTACATTGACATCAGATGCAGCGTGAGACTGGAGCGTTTTAGGACACAGAGAAAAGTTCCCATTCAAGGCACCAACGCACCTTCGTAATTCATGGTCTTTGATACCTTGAACTTAGATGTCCAAGAGGCTGTTCTGTCCCTCACCCAAGCTCAGATGCACCGGGTACACACCAGGGCTGAGGCGGGAGGAGGCCCTGGGTGCTGGGGCTGGCAGCTCCCCCGGTCTCTGTGGCCATCCTCGGGGCTGTAGAGGAAGCCGTCTATCCTAACATGTCTCACGGCTCCTGAGCTAAATGTTTTGATTGAAAAGAATTCTGGCACCGTCCTGGACTGCAGCGACCAAAACATTTCAAAAGGAAATGAATGTTCTCGCAGGTAGAGTGCATCGCGGGTCCGGGGCGTGTACACACTTCATCACTGGCTCGCGCAGTGTTTACCTGGCACTGACTCAGCCTTCCAGGAGCGGGTCCCTGGCTCCACATCCTCTGTAGGCTGTGAGCTGAGGCTCCAGCCAACACAGAAACCAGGCCAGCGGAAAATGGTCTATTGGGCTTGGCCGGCAGAACTCAGCCGCTGAACAGTAGAGTCCACAGATCTAGCAGAGGCCAAAATCGACATGATGGGCGTCTCAGCAGAACCACGGTCCTAGAAGGTGCGCGGACACTCAGTGAGTAGAGCCTTGCCTCCGTGTTTCATTTCTGCCTGGTGACATCACAGTCAGGAGAGGGAAGTTGTGTATTGTCATTTTACAGGTAAAGAAACTGGGGCTCAGAGGAGCTTACCTTTCCTAACGTCACACACTAGGAAACAACCAAGTCGGTCTGGCACAGTGGCACACGCCTGTAATCCCAGCTACGTGGGAGGCTGAAGCAGGAGGATCACGAGTTCAAAACCAACCTCAGCAACTGGGCAAGGCCCCATCTCAAAATAATTTTAAAAGGGTTGGGGACATAGCTAAGTGGCAGAGCGCTTGCCTAGCATGCATGAGGCCCTAGGTTCCATCCCCAACACTGCTGGAAAAAAAAAAAAAGCTGGAGTATGGACCCAGTCCTTCCTGCTCGAGGCCACTCTCCTGATCCCCCTCCCATCCCATCATGGGCTGCAAGCAAGGCAGGTCCACAGAGACCTTAGTGGAGGGTTTGCAGACAAACGAGGGCGCAGTGCTCTGGACACCGCACACAGCCCCCTTTTTTGGAGACTAGGCAAGCTGCCCTGTTAAGAGGGCCACCTCCATCCCACCACCCACTCCAGCTGGCTCTCGAGGTGGAGGCAGGAGCAGGTGGCATGAGGAGGAGAAGCCAAGCCAACTCCTGCTGCCTCACCTCCCGGTGAGGGGACAAGACTGAAAGGGCAGCCCAGCTCCAGATAGCACTTCCATCCCAGACCCGGGCCACCATCTCCTCCCCATCTAGCTCTCCTCACCCAGAACCTGCCCCTGCGGCTCACTCATCATCACCACGAAGGTGGCTGCTGGACACAAGGTGACCGCCCACTGGATCAGGCCCAGCATTCTGGTCTCAGCACTGTGCTTAGGAGCCAGGGACGGGGATAGGTTCAAAGGGACACACCAAGGACACCCACACCAGGGACCTGTTCTGGTGTTCACTTTCCCCTCTGAGCGTGCTCATCACTGAAGCCCTTCCGGGGCCAGTACCTTCAGACCAAGCTAAGTATCCTTGCATGTCCTGCCAGGACCTGAGCCACCGGAGCCCGGGGGGCAAGTAGCATGCCCTGGGGGTCCTGGAACCAAGAACCCGGGGATTTCCTGCCCCCCGCCTGAGCCAGGGTCTCACCCTGAGCCCCATCGGGATCACAAGGGGAGCCTGGGCCCTGCCCCGGGCGCTGAGTTCCCGGCTCCAGCTAACCCTGACACTCGCATTTCCTGATCCCCTTGCAGCTGGGTAGAGCCTCTGAGGTGAAGGCGCTGGTGGCCCTGGCCCTCCTTGACCACGGAGGGTTATGTGTTGGGTCGTGAGCTGGATGGCATAACCGCCTGCCACTGGGCCCCTGACCTCTTTGTTCACTCTGCCGCCTGGATTTCCATCCAGAGCTGTGCCAGTGCCCTCAGCTTCATCATCAGGCCCACACTCTCCCTGACCGCAGCACCTGGTCACCCCTGGACCCTTCTGTTTCTTTCTTCCTCCTCCCTCTGTCCTCACGATGGGACCACCAGGAGTACCCCCATGCTGGGAGACAGGGAGCCATGGGCTGGGCCACAGAGTGGGGTGCTCTTCTCTGCTGCACCTCCAGGTCTTACTGCCCTGAGGTTGGCCATCTCAGGGCCTCCTGCCTAGGGGAGGCAGCTGGGCTTTTTTGCTTTTTCGAGGGAATTTGTGACTTCAGTTCCGAGAATCAGCTGATGTGCCCAGCCCTGTGGCCAGGCCAGGTGGGCCCCCAGAAATTCAGTGGATGGCCCTCAGTACTGCCTACTCCCAGGTCCCCAGCTGGGCCCAGGGCCAGTGCCAGGAGCTGCTGAGCTTTAGACAGTTACTTGAACCACTGTCTCTGATTCAACAACTTGAACTTACCTGATGTGAAGCCCAGACCCCTTCCGGCTGATTCCATAGACTGCAGAGGAGGCAGCATTGGTGGCAGGCACCCCCAGTGGGAGGCTCATAAACGGAGTGGTTCTGTCTGCACCTGCCGTTGGGCCTGTGTCCCTGCTACCATGTTCCTCCCTGCTCCAGAGCCCCTCAGGGGCCAGACTACCTAGTGGCACCCAGATGGTGCTTTCCAAGCCCTGGGATAAAGGACACTTTTGTTTTTTAAATTCCATTCTGTTACACACTGATAGTTTGATAAAAGACAGTAAAAACGTCACCAAAATGTCAGTTGGCTCCTCAGTTTCCAACACTGACTCCCAACTTCTGAACTGGACTCGCTGTGCTCATTGGTGACTTGGCAGTGGCCCACGGACATGGGCCACATGGAATGGTTGGGTCATAGAGATGCTCGGGACCCTGGGACCACTGCCAGAGGTCAAGGTGGTAAGCTACATGATGGACGGCATCCAGCAAGGCGAAGAGACAGAGGAGCCACTCCTGGGCACTGCACACTGGAGGTCTGAACTGCCCAGGGAGGTGTGAAGAGGTACTTCCTTGGAGAGTGGCCGGTCCCAGACGTGGAAACCCTGGGATAAGCATGTCATGCGTGGCACAGCTGTTCCTGGCATCCAGGGCCACAGCTGCCATCTTCACCTCCCTTCTCTACCCAGCACAGGCAAGATCCAGGCTCGAAGCCATGAGCTTCAGGAGTGGGGAAGGGCCAGGGTGGTGGCATTCCATGCTGTACCCTAAGCTGCTCTCAGGGTGCCTGGAGCCCTGTCCCCTGTCCCTATTGGCTGTGCCCAGAAGCACATCTCCTTGTGAAAAGCCCAAGATTGTTCAGAAGCTGAGGTTACTTTTAAAACTTAACAAGCCCTGCTCAAGTCGTCGGGAAGCAGAATCACACGTGACTTTATTTAGAATACCTTCTCCTCTGGGTGTTTCCCATGCTGACCATTTTGGAGAGAAAGGAAAGAGTAAGTTTCTTTGGAAAAATAAGAAAGAAAGAAAACAACTCAATTGTTTCTAAGTAAAGGAACCCCAAGTGTGCTTCTCCCATCTTTTAACTCTTGGGGAATGTGAACGCTAAGGGTCAAATTTGTCAAACCGAGATCTCAGCTTGTGGATACTCAATAATGAATCCAAAGGAGAGTAAATCGCAGCGTGCGGTAGAAGACACAAGTTCTGGAGCAATATCCTGGCTCCCATCCAAGCCGCCCTGCTTCCTGCTCCCCGGGCAGGAGCACTCTGCCCCCCACACCTCCTTAGATCCTGGCTCCCAATCCCCCGCTCAGTGAGACTTTCCCTGACCATTTGGTAAAGCCTCTGGCCTCTCCCAGCGCTGGCTGCCCTGGCCTCCTTGCTTTGGAGGCTCATGTCACCACCCAGGACTTTGGTCCTGTGGTTCATTGCCGCACACCTGGTACTCGGTGCATTCATGGAAAATGTCCAATGAAGGAATCCAGGGATGTAGATGGGGTGGTGGCAGGGGAAGGTGGGGGAGGTCACTTGCAAGCCAAGGCAGGAAGCAGTGTCTTGCCCTGAGCTCACCGTGCACACCTGAGGTCTGTGTGGTCACTGCCCCTCCACTGCCCACACAGGAACCCCCAGCACCTGCCCAAGGCCAGTGCGGTTTTGTCATTTCTCCTCTTCTCCGCAGGAGCAGGCCATAGAGGTGCTGACTCGCTCCAGCCTAGAAGTTGAGTTGGCCGCCAAGGAGAGGGAGATCGCCCAGCTGGTGGAGGACGTGCAGAGACTCCAGGGCAGCCTCACCAAGCTGCGGGAGAACTCGGCCAGCCAGATCTCCCAGCTGGAGCAGCAGCTGAGTGCCAAGAACAGCACGCTCAAGGTACAGACCCTGCAAGGGCTGGGGCAGGGGGCCCAGGGGCCCAGCGGTGCACCCTCGCCTGCCTGGCACCGACAGCAAGCATGGTGCTCTAAACCCCACTGCAGGCTCTGCGTGGACCACGTGTCCCTCTCAGTGGGTCACTCCTTATATGTGGAGCCACTGTCCTGATACTTGGTAGAAACGCCACCTGCTAATGTGTGCCCTCGTGGAGCTGACAGCGTTGTCACAGTCAGAGGCCATCTGTGTAGACATACCATGGTCCAGCTCTGCTGGCCTGCAGACTTCTGATGAGAGGACCCCGCCCACTAAAGCTCTGGTTCTTCCTGTGCTTGGATCAAAAATGGAAGCACAGTGCTCCACAAAGGCCCTGTCTGACCCTGATCTGGGGGACACTCCTTTGCCACTCAAGCCTGTGGTTAGCCCAGTGGCTCAGCTCAGAGAGCTGCAGGTTATCTCTTTCTTCCCAAGTGGACTCACTGGGCAGCCTAGTAGAAGCTAGCTCCCAGGGCCTTCTCTTAAATCTCTATCCCAAGTGCAGAACCCAGAACCTTTTTTATGCTTTAAATAATAGTAATGCTACTTCAAAGTATCCACAGTCTGCGAAGTCAAGTGTGCGCTGCAGACAGCTCTGGGGCCCTAGATTGCTAGGGGTCATAGCCAGGGTGAGTGGCATCTTCCTTGGCAAACAGGTAGGCAGGAATGACAAGAGCCGGGGCCCAGCTGCAGGCTGGAGGTCTTGTGCTCTGCTGCGGGGACCCCTCCAGTCTGTTCTGCCTACCTAGGTTTTTCCCTCACTGAGTGCATGACAGACTGACTGGTTTCTGTTCACTGTCTACTAAATGAGTTGGATTAAGGTCAGTTGTAAAACTTCCATGAAGCCAGGGTGATAGTGCACCCCTAAGTCCCAGCCACCCAGTCCTAGGGCTGGGGCAGGAGGAGCACAGGAGCCCGGGAGCGTGAGGGGTCAGCCAAGGCTACGTGGTGAGACCTTGTCTCAAAATTTTACAAAAGAAGTGAAGGAGAAGAAGAAGAGTTTTCCTTACATAAAGTGATTCTAGAATGGAGTTAGGCCCTTTTTTTTTTTTTTTTTTTTTTCAATGGAGATTGCTTCTTGACACATGACCAGGTTTGACCCAGAACCAAATTTGCACAAGTCTATCGCTGACCAGGGCCACCTGCAGCTCCCCCTTGCTGGTTCTTCTTTGCCTCTTTGGGGCAGATTTCATCCCCTTTCTGAGAAACTGCCAGGTGCTCAGCTCCCTCTGAGGAGGCCCTGCGGACCTGGGGAGACCATCGGAAGCTGGTCCCATCCTTCATTAATGTGGCCATTATATCTCCAGTGCTCCTTCCTCTCACCAGCTTGCCCGATGAGGACCAGGACTCGCTTTTTTATTTCTAGATTTAAATCTAATTTTCTCATGTTAAGACCATTTCTGACCCTCCTGGTGGCATTGTTATTAGATAATTTGCCTTCTTCCCCTTCGTTACGGTTCCAGGGCGCCACCCAGACACCTCCCACACACGGCATCGTGACACGGAGACTCTAGACCTTCCATTTTTCATTATGGAGCAATTTCTTCTAAATCAGTTAAGGTTTTAATGTTCGCCTTCACAAAAAATGAAACGCAGTTTCACAAATGAATGTTCTTTATCCGTATCTTGGGGGAATTCTTTAATACTGTGCAGTTAATGAAACAATTCGGCAATACTTCTTCCAAAAACCATCGCTCCCTCCTCTTCGTCTGATCTGATAATCAAAACATATCCTCTAATAACGAGACTGCTCTGATTTTAATTATCTTAACCCCTTGTCACCAGGAGTAAAGATTTCTCAGAGAGCAAACCCGACACAGGGCATCCCCCTTTCTCAGAGGAGGACACCTACCTCCCTCACCCCAAGGGGTGAGGGTAATTGAATGGGCTGGCTTCTCGGGGCTCTGGGTGCTTTCTAATGTGTGTAACTTAGAATCTGCAGCCTGAGCTAGGCAGAGAGACAATTATTAGGAAAATGTCACCTTGGCAACCCTATGCTCTTGTCCTGAGGAGCTCTTACCCCGCAGAGACGGTGACCAGCAACCAGCAAGAGTGAGACGGGACTCTCCTAACCAGCACAGGCATTTCCTGGCTGCTTCTCCCTCTCCCATGGCCCTCTCTCCTCTGCGTTCTCTCCTCCTTTGGCTGTTTGCCAGCGTTGGGGCTCCAGGACACACAGTGGGGGCTACAACTGGGGTGCTATTTGTCAAAGGGTGCTGTGCCTCTGACGCAACTCTGGGTTCTCTAGAATGGCAGGTGGCCTTGCCATGAGCGTCTGGCTGAGGGTCCTGGATCTTTGAGACGAATGCCCACATGCTTGTGGCAGTCACCTGGGGAGAGGGAGCCTTCCACAGGCAAGGGCTCTGTGGGCAGGATTCTTGAGTACTTTCCACCCACGCAGCCTGCGGCACTACCCGTAGTGCTCCCGCACACTGAACCTGCCCATCTTTTTCCCACCAAGACTCCTTCCTTCCTCCTGGACAGGTGAGCAGTGGTTCTGGAGGTTGCTCGTTGACCACCATCCCTGCCGGGGCTCTGCATGACCCAGCACAGCTCCAAGCGCATCTCCACATCTCCTGGTGCAGCCTCTGACCCTTAAGTAGACATGGCGGCAGGCTCTGAAGGGGGAGGTGTTTCTTCTTGCCCAATCTGACAAGTGCTCAAGCACAGCGCCTTTTGGAGAGGATGATTCTGTGTTGGTAATTAATGAAATAACCCCGCCGCTGTGATAAGGCTGCTATTTTTGATAACTCTCTGTTCGGTGGTTTTCTGTCGGAACATTCTCATACAGAGGCAGTATAATTAGACAGTCACCTGCATTAGGCTCGATGCGGCAGAGAAAATAATGCCACCAATAGCTGCAATTTAAAGTGGGTATTTATGAGGAAGGCTAGCTAAGGAGTGCCACTCCCCAGCGAGGAGAAGTCGCATTCTCTAAAGATGCTCTAAAGGTCACTTCTTCCCACTGAGGCAGTGGGCAGGTGTGTTGGCATCACCTGGGGGTCTTTCCCAACTGCACATGCTCCCACCCACGCCCCCCACCTCCTCAGGCTCTGATGGGTCCCATGGAGCTACTGTGGGAGTCTGCTGTGTCCCTCAGGCACTGGAGTGGGAGACAGATGGTGGCCCTTCCTGGACTCACTGCTCCTGCCTGTGGAGGCTGCCCCTTGGGGCACATGGCCTCGTCACCCAGTGGTATGGGCCTGACGCCTGATGCTCCAGCTGTTCTCTGCCCAGGCTTCCCTCTGCGAGGTTCTAGCCGTGGATACAGACCCCTATTTTTAAAAAGGACTATGACCAAGCCCCTTTGGACACTAGTCCTGCAAACAGGCAGGAAGATGGTCATTGCTCAGGGAGGCCAGGCCCAGTGTCCATCCTGTGGCTGTGGAGGGGGACTTAGTCTGACACTGCGCCCTTTAGCCACCATCAGCCAGCAGGTGACTGAGAAGAGAAGCCTCACCCTCAGAGTGGCACATGGTAGTTCTGACATCAGATATCACTGAGGGTCGCCCAGGGTCACTGAGATGGCGTCCAGAGCACATGACTCCACTGGCACTGTCCTCGCTGGGTCTTGAAGCCACAGAGCAGGTCTGAGGAAGGAAGGAGTGAGGAGGGAGTTGTGTGGGGCCCTGATGCAGAGGCAGGGGCTGCCTGCCTGTAGGGGTGAGGCCCCAGGGGACCACCCCGGAGGCCATCCCAGAGTGCCACCTCAGAACCAAGGTGGCCTCTGGCCAGCTAGAACAACAAGACATCAGCAGATTCCTGTAAAATCTTGTGAGCATCTCTGCAGTGCCTGGGGGAGCCCATCAGGGGCGGGAATCTGTGGTGGGCTTCAGCACCCCGGCCCTGCTCCCCAAGTGAAGTGACCCTTGTAGCCCACATACAGCCCAGCTTAGTAGCCACCTCCCCAACGGTGAAGAGCACCATTGAGGTGGCCTGATGTTGAGCCAGGTCCCTTCTGCTCTGCAAGCAGTTTGGTCCCACCTGCCCAGGGCCCAGGTCAGACCCGGGTCATGGCCACTGAAAGACAGAGGTGACCTGTCTGTTCTGCAGAGGCCCCTCCTCCACACTTCCTTGGCCCTGCTCCTCTGTCCACTCTAACCTGAGCCTCCAAGGGTAAGAGCAAGCCCTCCAATGTCACCCTCACTGTCCCCACCATCTGGCTGTGGCAGGATGGCTCTCCCCTCCTCTTGTGTTCTGAGCACCCTCCACGGCACGTACAGCATCTGCTGCGGTGTTCAGAAGGTTCCAGGAAGACAGGGACTCACTATCCAGGCACCAGGCTGACCCTGGGCTCCTCACCTGGACAGAGCCCAGTTGTACGTAACTGCTGCCTCTCCCCAGCAATCATGGGGGTGGGTTTTCCTAAGGAGAGGGCCTCCCTTCAGTTGGAAAGGAGGTGCAGAAAGGCAGTGTCCCCAGAGCAGGGGGTACAGGCAAGCGCTGCGGAGAGCCGAGCTCTGCTCCTGTGTTGCAGACACCATCCCACCCACAGTGGCCCCAGGGATGTGGCCTCTGTGCCCTTCTTGCAGGGGTCTGATACACCACAGGTCTTTGCCAGTAGCCCCAAAGCACCAAGGACCATGTTTTCTGACTTGAGTGAGATACAAGTCTTTTAGAATTGCGTGCCTCGCTTGCTGCATGCCCAAGTACTTGGCACTTTAAATCAAGTTGCTTATGACTTACGTCATAGCTGGGATTTTAGGATAGACAGTCCTAGCAGCTGAGAGGGCCGTTGAGCTCCTCTATGTTCCTGGAACCGTGGATGGACTGACTCAGCCACAGTGTGGACGGGGTCGTGGGGAGCGGCAGGTCCTTTTCATCCTCATCACTGTCCTTCAGAAGCCCCTGTCAGTTCTGCCTCTCCCCAGGTTGAGTCACCCAAGCTCATAGGCAGCCCAAAGTCTGGCTCCTAAGTTCCTCTCACGTCTGGACCCATCCCCCTGTGTCCATGGCCAGGCCCAGTGCTCCTGGCACACCAGCAGACACCACAGCTCAGCACTGCGGTACACTGGGGGCTGTGGGTGTCGCCCCTCAAGATGGCAGCAATAACTGGGAGCTGCGGCTCACTGCCACTGCCCCGCGTCACGTCACGAGAAAGTATCCTACTACAAGTCGCTCACCTAGGAAGAGAGCCAAGTTCAAAACAAGGCAGTTCCTACCCGATACTGCTGCCCTCGAAACATTGCGAAGCCCACCAGTTTAAAGAAGGGCTGTTTGTGCTTTCTTCTGGGAAGATACCACAGTCCCTAGGTTCTGCTTTGGTGACCTTGGCTGGGAGCTGCCTCTGTTGCCTGTCTGCACTTAGCAGCCAGAGCTGCTGCAGGGCCGTGTGCTCCTCCTACCTGGTCCGCCGTAGCCCCGAGTCTCGGTTCAAGATCCGCAGGAGCGTGGGTATCCTTGCGGCCCACCCCCTCCTCTAGGGTGGTCTTGAGTTTTGGTGCCCAAGCAAGGTCTTCTCTAAGGAGACCGCCAGGTGGTCAGGTTGTAGGTGCTCTGTAGACCAGGCATCCTCCCCAGGCTTGTTTGCCCAAGACAAGAAATGCCATCAGAGGGTGGCAAGAGAGGTACTGGGGCCTTCTTCACCAGCTGCCCCAGGCAGGCAGCAGAGATGTCAGTGGATGCTCTTCAGCTCTTGACAAAACTGTCTAAAATGTGCACATCCCATTCCTAACCTTTTGATCAGAACCAGTCACAGGTCTTCAGAGGAGACTTGCGGCCACACCTCCTGTGATCTGTGTGCCAGCAGTAACAGCCCCAGCATGAGGAACAGAGCTGCCACACCTGCCCTGTTCCCGGCCTGTGGAGGCCTCTGAGGTCCTTGTGTTGTTCCTATTTTTTGTGAGAGGCTTATTAACTTGCCCAGAGACACCCAGCTTATGTGTGATAGGTGGGGGCTGCAGGGTGAGTGCCCCACTGCCTCCCTTCCTCCCTGTCCCTTCCACTCTCTGGCTCTGACCAGCGGCCCGTGTCTGTGTCTGGCCTTAGTGAGCTCCACGCTCTGCCACGTGTTTTGCTTCTCAGCCACACTGGATGATCTCTGCAAGGGAGGGCTGTCACGTCAGTGCCTCCTGCCACTTGACTACAGGCAAGAGAATGGAATAATCACTTCTTTGGGAGCACCTTCTGAGAGTCTTTTGTGGGAAAATGAGTGCCTACTACCCCCCATTGGATTATGACTGAGAAAACCATCATAATACATAAAGTTGGCGAGAAATCTTAAAGGGAACTAGGAGAGCAATCTTATGCAACAGAAAACAAATGCGCGAGAGATTGTTGGTGGAGGCAGCAGGAGACAGCACAGTGGGCGTGGCCACAGAGCGCCTGCATCCTCAGGACAGCCACTCACTGTGGATTCCAGAAGGGCGTCCCAGATTCCAGAATGGTCTGAATTAAGGACAGCCTAAAGGAGCACCTAGAAACCCTGCAGACAGGAAGGCTCTGGCACCTCAGAAAGTGGAGTTCATGCCCCTTGAGCTTGGAAATGCATGGACTGGCAGGGTCCTGCCCTGGGTTCTGCAGCATTTGCTGAGCTGCCCCAGCAGGCTCCCTTTGGAGGAGGCCAAAAGCACCTTTGTAGAAGGAAGTGCCCTCGACTGATCCACCCTATGCCAACAGCTCTTCCCAGCAAGAAAGCCTGGCAGGGCTGTGGGCAGCACTACACCTTGACAATGTGCTGTCCCTCCCCACAGGACCATGGGGGCTGTAGGGTCCCTGGCAGGCCTCCCTGCAGGACTCAGGTCTCTCTCAGGGAAACCCCTAACTACCCAGAAAATAGGCATCCACTCCCCAAACCCCAATATCCTGGGCTCCAGGAGCACAAATGCTCTCTTCCCAGTGCCTGCGTAATGTCGACACTCAGCAGCAAAGTGCTTGTCTTGTTAGCAGGGGTCCCAGCCAAGGTGTCCTCAGCCACTGTGCACACCAGCCAGCAGAGCACACTTGCTGAAAACACGCTGCTCTCTAAATGCTGGGCTCACATCTGTGTCTCGGTTTGCTATTTCCTGGTATTTGGTCCAGAATAAAAGTCTCCTCATTCTGTTTTCCACCTCAGGGAAGCTTTTTCCTTTCACCCTCAGTTTTATGTCAGAACGATGGCACCCAGGCTGTCGGCCTCCGTGTGTGCAGGGTCGCCTCCCAACTCAGGGGCGTGTTCTACAGGAGTGTGCTCGTTGACATCGTCTACCTACTTGCAGACGGGACCACTAATCAAATTCCTCTCTGTTTTCAGCAACTGGAAGAAAAACTCAAAGGCCAGGCTGACTATGAGGAGGTGAAGAAAGAACTGAAGTGAGTATGGAAATGCCCGTGGGCCTTCCCACACGGTGCTCGCTGGGACCCTTTGCTAACAGGTCATGCAGCGTCGGGCAGCTGCCCGCACACGGACCAGGGCTCTGCCTCTGCAGTGTCCTGGGCCTGGTGCTGTGGATGTTTGCACTGGGGCCACTCCTGGAATTCTGTGGCCTTTTTGTAAGGCTTGGTGTACGTAAAGTATTCAGTGGGCTCACATTCAGGGAAATACCACCTTCATAGAAATGATCACCCTGGAGTTTGTCTCACAGGTGTAAATCCCCTGAGCAGGCAGGTGAGGAGGGGGACATTTTCCACTCGAAAGTGCACGTGACCTCCCTCCACCAGGGCCTCCTTCTCCCAGACCTCATCCCCCTCTGTGAGGCCTCAGCTGGGAACTGGTCATCCCCCAGTGCTGATACCCACCCTTGGGCCAGCTCCCTCCTGGACCCTGGAGCTCCCAGGTCCTGGCCTACCCCAGCCTACAGCCCTTGGTGCCCACAGTTCCCTTGGCCTTTCCCTTGGTTTCCACCATTCTCTCTCACGCAGCGCTGCAGGGAAGTTGCCACGGTGTTCCCAGTGGCCTGCACAGATGCGTGGGTCTCACGGTGGTGTGTGGCCAACCTCGGCTGCTCCGGGGCTCCTTGGCCTCCTCTGCTCTGCCCAAGTTGCTCCCTGATGGGCCTCTGCACAGGCGCCCTAATCCTCTTCCTCATGGACTGTGCCAGCCACGTGCCAGAATCTCTCCTCCTCTCCTTGGGCTCCACCTCCCATCTCTCCAAGTGACCCTTCCACCTGGGCCTCGGTCCCCTCCTTCCCCGCTCCTGCCTGCTCCTTGGTTCTGTCAGCCACTCTCTGTCTTGCAGACATTTTCAGTTTCTCCTTTAAGTGGCCATCCCCCTATGTCCCCTGTTTTCTATCCGTTCCATTCCCTCAGGCCTCTTTGACCTTCTCTTGGTCACACCGTCCTCCAGGACTCTGCTGTTCCCCTGGGCTCCTGTACCAGCACAGGTGACCCTTCTCAGGCTGCAGAAAACCTCTACTGGCACCTCTGGATGGACCTTTTGACCCTCTGTGGTTCTAGCCCCAGCAGTACTGCACTGCCCCCACCCCATTTCAGCTCAGGGACACATTTGACATGGTTGACTTAAAAATATATATATTGTTTTTTTAAAAAAAGAAGAAGAAAAGAAATTGGACCTTCTAGCTTTGAGCCAGTGTGTTGTGACAGCCTTGGCCAGTCCCTGCCCTCTCACCCTGGGATTTGGTCCTCCGCCCCTCCTCTGGTACCGAGGCTCCTGGTCTGCCTGTCCATTCTCAGCAGCCCTCTGTTGCATCTGACCATGGCCCCCACCACCGTATCCGGGTCTGAAAGCTCCTCTTGGGGAACTTTTCGGCTGAAATGTGCTCTTGATCTCCCTCTTCCTGATAAACCAGGTGCCCTCGGACACAGGCCCAAGTCCCCTTCCCCTCCCTGTCCCAGCCCCACCTCCCATTGCCTCCACAGGCTGTGCCTTCTCTCCCGGGTCCACCCACGGGAGTGGCCTGTAAAACCTCCTGCTCCTCCAAGGCCCTTCTCCTGCCAAGGCCACCCTGCTTCTTGCCTGCACATTTCCTGGGGTGTAGATCAGGACTCAGAAAATTCTGACTTTCCACAGTGCCAGGCACACAACAGGTGATTGAGAAATATTTGTTGAATATAAACGTAGAGATGTTTGTGTTTTCAGTACAGGTTGGGTATCCTTTGTTCGAATGCTTGAAACCAGAAGTATTCTGGATTTTGAATTCTGAAATATTTGTATATACATACTGAGATACCTTGGGCAGGAGACCCAAGTCTAAATGTGAAATTCATTTGTTTCATATGCATCTTCTTTATGTAGCCCAAAAGGTAATTTTATGCAATATTTTTAATAATTTTGTGCATGAAATTAAGTTCCACAGCATGGAATTTGCCACTTGGGGCACTCAAAGGGTTCTGGTTTTCCGACTTGGGATGCTCAGCCTGTATGAACTTACGGACTGGCTTAGCCTTTTATCACACGATCCTAGAAGATGTCAAACAAGGGGCAGATGCGTGACTGTGAGTGCCATGAAGCCCTCTGAGGACAGAGGAGTGTGTCCTGGCCACTCGTGACCTGTGCTGTGTGACCCGAGGGGTCCAGAATTCTTTTATTATTTTCAGTAACACAGGATAAAGTTACCAGCTGTTCCTCATCCCTGTGTTTGTTAATTACATGGCGAGGATCCCTGCAGAGGTACAGATGAACTAGGGGCTGACTCTTAACTGACCCATGGCCATGGCCAAGGGTGGCCTCCAGGCTCCGGGCCCTGTGCCCTGTGCCCTGATGGCAGCATCCTCCCACGTTCTGGTGTCTGGATGACAGTCTCGTGGGGCTTCAGATGGGCGGAAGCTGGGCTCATGGCTGCAGGATGCTGGAGGGGCCTGTGGACTCGCTGTATCCCTGCGAGTAGTGACCTCCCCAGTAGCCGGCCCACCCCGGCCGAGCACTTGGCAGCTCCCGTGGGCCCCACAGACTCTCTTCCCCTTTCCTTCCTGGTCCTGGCAAAAAGAAAGGAATGGAAGAAACAGCAGTTTTGAGGGCCAGACCTCACTCAGCCCCAGTTTGTGGAGAGTCGGGAGCCCAAGTGACCGTAGGGTCAGAGCTGCCCAGGACAGGGGAGTGGCAAGCCTCCCATCACCACACCTTTGCCTCTGGGCTCCTTCCCAGATCTGGGGCTGCAGAGGAGGTGCTCACCTGGCCTTTGAGCCATCTTGATCTGTTTCCCCGGGTCTCCAGTGGCTGCCTAGCAAGGACATGGGCAGTAGCCAGTGGGTAGTGAGTTCCCCTCTCTGGCTTCCTTGGGAGAACTTTCTTTCCCTTTAAGCTTTACAAATACATTCCACTCGCAGCAGCAACGTGATGTCTGTATTAAACTTTAAAATCCTGCTCGGCACAGACCTGGTGTGACTCCATATGGAATGATTTACATGCTGGGCAAAAAAGTTTCGCTAGCCAACTGCTAGTTGAATACTAGTTACTCTAGAGACATTATCAGATTAAATTCCTGCCAGGGACACTGTTCAAGCTGTCAGTTCCTTGTTCCTGGAGAGCAGGAGATGGTGGTGCTGATGCTCTCCAGCGTGGCAGATCAAAGGTCCAAGTAGAAAACAGTGTCTTGTCTTGCTCTTTCAGTATCCTGAAGTCCATGGAGTTCGCGCCGGCTGAGGGAGCTGGGACGCAGGTACGCCTCTCCATTTCTGCTCAGGGCCCATGACACTGCACTGCCCCCCATGTGAGGCCTCTCACTTACCCCCAGGAGTCGTTCTTCAAGAAACTTCAGGCCACTGAAAGCAGACAATCCTTAATTAAAAGGAGCAAGTTAGCACTTTGCAGACAGCTGACTGGTGCCAGTGAGGTGTGGTCTCACCTGGGTGGGCCCTGAGGACAGGGACAAGAAGCCCCCTGGGCAGCCCTGCGGTTCAGTAGTGGAGCACTGAGCAACCTGAGGCCTGAGATCCCTTCCCAGCACCCATAAGTCCACAAGTAAAACCACTTCAGGTCGAGCTGAAGATCATCCTCCAGTAGGTGGGCTCAGGCGCAGTCCCTGAGCACCGCCCCAGAAGGTGTGGGGGCTGGGTGACAGCAGCAGCCTGTCATCTGTAGCCGCCTACAATTCACATTGTGAAGCTGGGTACCTCTGCTCATGCCTTAATCCAGCTGCTCAGGAGGCTGAGGTAGGAGGGTCTGAGCCAAGGCATTGAGGTTCAGCCTAAGCAACACAGGGAGACCCTAAAAATTCATTTTTTTAAATTACAACATAAGTGGAATCTTGCTCCTAATTCCCAGAAGACAGCACACGTCATCATAGCTGGCACAAGAAAGTTTACGATTGCTTTTTGACAGCGGTTGTGCCCCAGTCCTGCTGCTGATTGAGGCCCCAGCTTAGACTGCTGGAGTTTGGGGACAGAATAGAGAATGACTAATTGTCTAGAAGCCAGATGAGCCTAGGAAGAAAAACTGCCTCACCGGAAATTCACTCTTTCTTCAAGGGGGTGTGAAGGTGTTCAGCGCCCTTTGAACACCTTGAGAGGTGGGGAGCGGGGGGCGGGTCCTGGGCCGCGGGAGACTGGCCCCGTGGTGAGCCCTGCTCTGCCCCGTCCAGGACGCAGCCAAGCCCCTGGAGGTGCTGCTGCTGGAGAAGAGCCGCTCCCTGCAGTCTGAGAACACGGCGCTGCGCGTCTCCAACAGCGACCTGAGCGGTAGGTGCGCGGGGCCTCACGTGCGGTGCTTGGTTCGCTTCCAGGGGTCGAGGAAGCCGAGGGTGACCGTGAGTCCGGGCTCGTGCATGGCGGGGGCGCAGCCGGCTGAGGAGAGCCCCGCCTGAGCCAGAGTGTTGGGCGTCCCCACCCTGCGACACGATGCGCGTGGACGGCAAGCTGCGGAGGGCAGCTGGGGTAGCGTTGCGAGATCCTGGAGGGGCAACCGAGGACGCTGCTTTCCGGTCTTTTCCTAGTGGTGCTGCGATCCGGCCAGGGCAGAATCGAGCGCGACCTCTCTCGGGGGTCTCCAGGGGCTGCTCAAAGGGCCAGCCGCCCTCCTAGGCTCAGTGGCGCTTTTCTTCCTTTGTCAGGTTTTCCTTGGGGACGTGTCCCCCATCCTTAGCCTTTCTTTGCTGGTCCCAAAGTGGTGGCGTCACTGACTGTGCTTCTGGTTTGGCAGCTGGTAAACCGTGTAAAGGTTCTGGGCTCCGATGCTATTGCGTTCTTACATGTGCGTGCCTTCGATCGAGTGGACTCGGTGCGGTGCATTCGCCTCAGAGCGCGGTGGGCGCGACCCCACTGTCCCCGAGTGTCAGTGTTTGCTGCTCCTCAGGCAGGGCCCTCGGGGTAGCTTGAGTGCGACCTGTCGACTTCCCTGTGTGTTACCGGCTCCTTGTCACTCTAGCAGTTTGAACTGTTGTCCAGGGGATTCTCCAGGCTGCAACGTACAAGAAAGGCGCAAACATGAATGCATGTGGCTTGTGTTGGGGGGCCGTGTTTGGCTGATTACAAATTCAATCGAAAACAAACCAACACACCTCATTGGCCCTTGTAAAATCTGCACTTTTTTTTTCCCTTTTGTGGGGCAAACTTTGCATTCTGGTCTTGGTTTTTTTTCCCTTTTGAATCCCCCATAATGCATTCTGTTTGCCCTTCCTTGTAGGGTCAGCCAGGAGAAAAGGGAAAGACCAGCCTGAGAGTCGGCGCCCTGGACCCTTGCCGGCCTCCCCTCCTCCTCAGTTGTCCCGCAACGCGGGGGAGCAGGCTTCCAATACTAATGGTACACACCAGTTCTCACCAGCGGGGTTAAGTCAAGACTTTTTCAGCTCATCCCTGGCAAGCCCCAGCCTGCCCCTGGCTTCTACAGGAAAATTTGCACTAAACTCTCTCCTCCAGCGGCAGCTCATGCAGTCCTTCTACTCCAAGGCCATGCAGGAAGCAGGAAGCACAAGCATGATTTTTTCAACAGGTCCATACAGCACAAACTCCATATCTTCCCAAAGTCCATTACAACAAAGCCCAGACGTAAATGGCATGGCCCCATCCCCCAGCCAGTCAGAAAGTGCTGGGAGCGTCTCCGAGGGCGAGGAGATAGACACTGCAGAAATCGCCCGACAGGTCAAAGAGCAGCTGATCAAGCACAATATTGGACAGCGCATTTTCGGACATTATGTCTTGGGACTGTCTCAAGGGTCCGTGAGTGAGATCCTGGCCCGGCCGAAGCCATGGAATAAGCTGACCGTCCGCGGCAAGGAGCCGTTCCACAAGATGAAGCAGTTCCTCTCAGACGAGCAGAACATCTTGGCTCTTCGCAGCATCCAAGGCAGACAAAGAGGTGAGAGCCGCCCTGGGGTTGGCGCCTGCGAGCGAGCCCGTCACGAGGCTGTGTGTGTGCGTGTGTGTCTGTGCGTGTGACAAACATCTGTGCATCACATCAGGTAAAACTCTTTGCAGAGGTACCATTTCCAGAGCTCAAGGGAGGACCGGCATGAGCTAAGCCATTAGACTGGGGAGAGCTGGCCTTGGAAACCACTCAGCACCTTCTTAGTGAATTCAGTGTTCCGCTGCTACGCACTGACCTGGAGGGAACTATGTTACAACATCCAGCAGCTTAGTGGCCTGGTCCAGTTGGCCTTGGGCGCTGGGCTTCCCACTGGGAGCAGACCCTGTGGCCGTCGAGCCCCATAGCAAACAGCCCCATAGCAGCAGCAGCGACGGGGCCCTGTCCTTGCAGCACTGGCTATGGGTCCAGCCTATAGAAGCTGCCTCTCTCCTCTCCCTGCCCATCAGGGAAGATCTGTCCTGTGGTCACCTTACATCCCGTTAGTCATTTTTCTAGCACCATGACCAAAACACGCCTGCCATGAGCAACATACTCAGCAGTTTTACTCAAACACCTTTCCTACCCTGCCCTTCATACAAAGATTAAAAAGCCAGTCTCATCCTAATAAAAGGAGTTCTTTCCCTCTTTAGGGACAGGAAGTCCCTGTGCCAATTCAACAGTGATACAAGGTGAGGACTTTATCAGCCTCATTTGAAACACCCTGACATGTAGACTCAACCAGAAGGGAGATAGTCCAAGCAACATCCATGTGCCCCACGAATGCCAAGCACCCTAGTGATGTTAACCGAGTGTCTCTGGACGGTGGCTGCAAGGCTCGGTCCTGGGCTGGCGGGTGATGTGCTTGGAGGCAGCTCTCCCTCCCTTAGGCCCTCTGGGTGGCAATACCTTGCCACTACTTAGGTCTGTCAGCCTCCTCTTGCAGGTGAGCAGTGGCCTCTACGGGCCGGTCAGCCAGGGAAGGGCCTGTTAGAAGTTTCTCGTAGCTCCCGAGTTGCACAGGAAGCCCAGAGCCCTCTCTTTAGCAACAGGCGGCTCAGATTTCATGTCACGCAGCCATGTCGTCGACGCCACCATTCCCCTGATTGTTTTGTTCTTACCACACTTGTTTTTCAACAGAGAATCCAGGCCAGAGCCTGAACAGACTATTTCAGGAAGTACCGAAACGAAGAAATGGGTCTGAAGGTATGTCGCAGGCAGGTGTTTCTCTTTGCAGTCAGTAACCTAGGATGCAGCATGTCCTTAGCTGTGCATTTGGGTTAAAACTGTGCAGTGTCATTCTGGCCTGGAACCTGATGGAAAAACAGCTAGTAAGTATAAAACAAAGCACGGGTTCAGATGCCCAAGCCCCTCCTCCTGAGCTGCCTGCGCTCTACTGAGCCAGACCACGTGAGAAGGGGTGTCCCCAAGGTTAGTCCCCAAGCACCAGCCCCCCTTGATTCCAATTCCACTGTGCCTGTTTTCTCAGAAGCAGGAGGAAGAGTAACAGTTACTGCTCTGAGAAAAATCAGGTGACCACATCGAGCCAGTACTGCTGCTTCCCACAACTTTTAACTCAAATATGTCAAAGGTCCCATGTGGTGGACAGGTTCCGAATGCAGTTGGTTGTCCTGTGGGCCTGGGCAAGCCAACCCCCTCCTGGCTCCTGGGAGTCAAATAGTTAATGGGGCTTCATCCTGTGATGTTCTTGCTTTTCAACGGTATAATGTGGCGCTTCATGTAGAGTCAGGTGGTGAACAAGTAAAATGCCTGGGCAGCTTCCAGGGGACCTGGGGCCAGCCCCGGGCCTCAGCTGCCCAGGGCATCAGCGTGTATGGCTGCTCTGTGAGCACCACCCTGTGACTGTGACAACATGGTCTTGTCCTTTAGGAATCTGCAGCCTTCTCTCCTTGTCTGTAAATTTCCAAAAAAGACAGTGTGTGGTCATAGATCCGAAAAAAGTTCAAGTTCAGCCTTGTGGCTCTTCACCTGGTGCATCTGAATGATTGATGGAGGCTCAGCCTCCACCCTTTTCCCTCCTTCCCTGTTTGGGAAAAATAATACAGAGACCAAATATAGTCCCAAGCCAAAGCAGTTGTTGGAGATGCTTTTAAATGACTCATGAAAATATTGCCTTAGAATACATTGTCTTTTTTTGTAGTGCTTTAAATGGTCTGTTCTCCCCTGGTACCACCCCCAGCCCCCCCACCCCCCGGGCGACATCCAGCTCAGGTGATGTAGGAGCCCAGGAGGCAGGTTCGGCAGGAAGCCTCCTGCCCAGCGGCTGGGTACAGCTGTGAGGTCGCGCTCCTGCCAGTGCAGGCTGCGGGAGGCCACGCCTGCCTCCTCACGTCACCAGCCTCAGCTCGGGCCTGTTATCAGAATGATGTCTTCTTGCAGCTCTGATCTTGCACACAGAGTCTGGATCTGATGTCATTGCTGTGGCTTCTTCCCACAGGTAACATCACCACCCGCATCCGAGCCTCTGACACTGGTTCCGATGAAGCAATCAAGTCCATCCTGGAACAAGCCAAGAGGGAGCTTCAAGTACAGAAAACTGGTATGGTCCCGCTTCCTCGGCCCCCGTCTTCCCAGCTTAATTAAAAGACCCGTCTTGAGCGTCGTGGTCAGCAGTAATTCACTCTCTAAACAGTAGCCGGCATGTCTTCACGCATTTGGTGTGTGCAGAGAGGAGCCAGTCAGCAGTCCGTCAGGCGCCAGATTACCCCACTTCTTTTAATGTCATTCTCAAAAATGACTCAAGAAGTCCCTCTGGCCTAGAATCTAATCTGCTCAACTTAAACCGGCAGGCAGGTTGTGTCAGACTCCCTCTCCTCCGTGCAGGGTGGGCCTTGGTCACTGGGCCCTCCGTCACGCTGGAGCCACTGCAGCTGAAGCAGAGTAGGCGACAAGAAGCCCTCCCAGCTGCAGACCTTGAGTGACTGACAGTTAGGAGCCACCGCCCCTGGGGTGGGGTCCACTGTGCCACCTGCCTCCAGACTGGGAGCCCGTGAAGCGTGTCCTCTGAGAGGACCAAGCCTGTTCCAGCTTTTCTCTGGCTGAGCCTTGAGTGTCAGGGAGGAGCTCCATGCTACGGCACAGGAGAGGAGGGAGTCCCCTTCCCGTGCCACCCGTTCTGACCCATGAACCCCGCTCTGCAGAACACCGCCCCCCACAACCCGCCTCAGGGTCCCGCCCGGCTGAGCTGTGACAGCTGAGCATGGGCTCCCCTGCTGGCTCCTGGCCCGGTCACTCAGCCTTCCTCTCCACAGCTCATTCAGCTCAGTGCTCCCTCCTGAGGCCCGGGCTGGGCATGTCCCCTGCCTTCTGCTCAAGCAGAGTCCTCAGAACCCAGAGGACAAATGTTGTCATCCCATTGTTCCTGATTAAGCTCAGCCTCAGTTAAAATGGTTTGCCCAAGTTCATCAGAGGACAATTTGATGGAAACTCTGGTTTCTCAACTCCAGTGCCATCCGCCTTCTGCTAAAGGCCCCAGAGAGAGAGGACACTATCCTGGCAGTGGATGAAACTTTCAGTCCAGCATAGACCTTGCTCTGGCCAGAGTGGAGCCGGGAGCCTGTGTCATTACAGTAGCTAGAGGGCCAGGGTCTTCAGCAGGGCAACATCACAGGGCCAAGAGGAAAGAAGGCCCAGGACACAGTGGGCACCCTTCATCACCCACTCCTCCCCACCCCGCAGTCCCTTCATCTGTGGTGCCATATGGCCCTCCTGAGCTGGAGAAGGGCCGTCTCACAGGTCAGGAGTTGTCGCTGGCCAGGCGCAGTGGTGCCCACCTATAATCCCAGCTATTTGGGAGGCTGAGGCAGGAGGATCACAAGTTTGAGGTCAGCCTGGGCAACATCACAAGACCCTGTCTGAAAAATTTTTAAAGGAGGCACTGTTGTAGTTCAGTGACAGGGTGTGTGCCCAGCATGCGCAAGTCCCTGGGTGTAATGCTCAGGACCAAAGAAAGATATCGTTACAGTTACTTTGACATTCTTAGGCCTCCTTTAAAGCAGAAAGGATTAGCCCCTTCAAAGCTATTAGGATTCCTCTCCTAGACGTGAAGGTGCACGATTCAGGGAACATGGGACAGAGCCAGGGACCTCCTGAAGATCACCCTGTCCAGTGGCTCTCAGCCAGCACTGCCACCCACAGTCCCCAGGAGCCAGTGGTCTGCAGACACTGGGCCAGTCCCATACCTGCTCCCACCAGACACCAGGAGCAGCCCAGGCACACACATTTTAGGGAGCCCGAGTTGGTCGTCCATCTGGTCCATCGGCCATTCCACACACACATGTTGAGGCCCACCGATGCCTTAGGACTTCTCCAGGTTTCTGGGCCAGCAACTTCCCCTGAAATGCACTGCCACCCCCGCCCACTGCCCCTTGGTGAGGTTCACGGCTATGGCCACTGACCTCTGGGAGACCCTGGTCCTGGCTACAGTCGCAACAGCCGTGCGTCTGGAGTTGGACAGACCCCAAGACCCGTGGGACAGCTCCAGAGAGTTCATGTCGAGTTTAAGATTCCCCAGGAGAAGGAGCCCAGAAGGGCATGTCCCCAAGTGTCTCAGGCCTCCCGCTTGGTCACACTGTGGTAGGAACTCCAGCTGTGTGTGGCAGAGGACAGCAGGCAATGGAGCCAGAGTGCCGGTCTTGGCCGTGTGGTCCCACTGTGTGGGCACTGGGTGGGGGTCAGGAGGAGTGACGGCAGAGCCAGGGCGGGCCACCACAACTTCACTCCTGTGCTTGCCTCGCCCAGCAGAGCCAGCCCAGCCGTCTTCCGCATCCAGCAGCGGGAACTCTGACGATGCCATCCGCTCCATCCTGCAGCAAGCCCGCCGGGAAATGGAGGCCCAGCAGGCCGCCCTAGACCCTGCCTTAAAACCAGCGCCGCTGTCCCAGCCTGACCTCGCCCTCCTGACCCCCAAGCTCCTGTCGGCCGCGCCCATGCCCACAGTGCCCGGTTATTCTCCTCTCGCCATCTCCCTGAAGAAGACGCCCACCGCCCCCGAGGCCAGTGCCCCGGCCCTGCCCAGTGCCCCGGCCCTCAAAAAGGAGGCCCAGGATGTGCCCGGGCTGGACCCTCAGGGAGCAGCTGACGCTGCACAAGGGGTCCTGAGGCACGTGAAGAGCGAGCTGGGCCGTAGCAGCGGGTGGAAGGACCACTGGTGGAGCCCAGTGCAGCCTGAGAGGAGAAACCCCCCTTCCTCCGAGGAGCCGAAGGCCGAAGAAGCTGGAGGCGGGAGAGAAAGGGTCAGCGGCCAGCCCCGGGCCGAGCGCAGCCAGCTCCCAGGACCTTCGTCATCATCAGAGTGCTGGAAAGAGTGGCCAAGTGCCGAGTCCCCGTACTCCCAGAGCTCAGAGCTGAGCGTCGCCGGAGCCAGCCGCAGCGAAACACCCCAGAACAGCCCCCTGCCCTCCTCCCCTATTGTGCCCATGGCAAAGCCCGCGAAGCCCTCAGTCCCTCCGCTGACCCCTGAGCAGTACGAGGTCTACATGTACCAGGAGGTAGACACCATCGAGCTCACCCGGCAGGTCAAGGAGAAGCTGGCCAAGAATGGCATCTGCCAAAGGATCTTCGGGGAGAAGGTAAGGAATTCCACTGGGGCCGGGTTCCCATTCCTTCTTGTGGCTCAGGACTAGTGCCCACCCTAGAGGATGGCCACCACCATCTTAACTGACCACACACCATGTGCTTCCCACTCCAACCACAGAAGCCAGCTAGCAGCTGTTCCCTGCCTGGGTTCCACGTGCCAAGCCCCGCTCATGGCCGGGTCTAGGCTCGGCCTCACTGTACCCTCCTCTGGGCCTCTCACTACTCCGGGGGTGGGTGGAAGTACGGAGCTAAAGCTTGCGGAAGGTAGCACCTCCCCAAGCTGGCAGGAGACGATCTAGATCCAGCCTCCACTGCCAGGTGGAGCCAGGTGGCACCTTTGCAGGCCATTTTGACCTAAACAAGGTCTGATCTGGGCAGATCACACAGAGGGCCAACAGCCTGCAGAGAGCCTCAGCGGACTTAATAGAGAAACCTGCATGAAGCGTAGGTCTTCCTTTCTGCTGCAGCTTGAAAGGCACTTGGGTACCATCCTGCCAGGGACAACTTGCCCAAGAATACACCCCTGTGGGGGCACCAGCAGACTGCCCTGGCCTGCCCTTATTTCCACATTGTTCCTCCCTGGTTCATGGAAATGGGATCATCTGTGAGTGGGCTTCTAGACCTTTCTGTTCTTGGCACCACCCTGGTGACAGATTCTGGATGGTGGGGATTTACCACCATCTTAGATCAGGTAGTGATGGAGTGCTGGCCACAGCTGGCCGCCCCGCCCACCCCACCTTGCCTTCAACCCACAGGTTGCAGGGTATCACACTGTCCCTACAACAGCTGAGAGTGAACTCTTCACCCTGGTTTTACAAAGGTGATGGGGACACTTAGAAATGGGGATGGGAATCCAAAGTCCCTTGAGATTTCTAGTTCAGTGTTGTAAAAATATCGTTCAAGAACATTTAAATAGACATTTGTGCTCAAGCCTTAAATTTAGCAGAGACTTAATGGTGTGGGGCTTGTTTGGCCCATGAGTGCAGTTTATTCTGGAACTTGAGAACTTTTTGAAAGAATGATGGGATGCAGCCCCTGAATATCCCTGGGCTGCATCTGTGTCCTGGGGGGGTGTGGTGCCCATGCATATGTATGGCCATATGGGAACAGAAGACTCGGTGTGTGCTGGCTCATCCTTCGTCTGCCACGAGTGTCCCTCCCACACCAGCTCCCCGGCCCCGCCGACTCACCTCTGCCCCGACCTGTGAGCAGGGTGTGACGAGGGAGACATGGGCCCTTTCTAAGTGCCATCCTGGCTCGGCATTAACAAAGCAGCCTGCCTTCCCTGTCCCTCCGGCACCCACTCCTGCCTCTCAGGCCCTCTGCCCACTACCCTGCTTTTCCTGTGGCCCCCAGACAGAGAGCCTGCTTTCTAGTGCTTCCTCCTGTGTGGGGGACAAGCCTCCCATCCCAACCACCAGTTCCTGAGAGCTGACTGGAGATGACCTGTCCAGAGCCCCACCCCATGCCAGCTCATTGGCCCCCCGGGGATCTTACAAAGCTTGTTCCCCTGGCCGTCTCCATCCATCAGGCCCACACTGTGCTCAGAAGCCGGCCCCAGACACGCTGGCTGCGGGTCCTCACCCCACCACCCCCACCATGTGTGTATCACACTACTGCCGAAGCACCCACCACCATGTCTTTTTGGTTCCACTACAGGTGCTGGGCCTGTCCCAGGGCAGTGTGAGTGACATGCTGTCCCGGCCGAAGCCCTGGAGCAAGCTGACCCAGAAGGGCCGGGAACCCTTCATCCGGATGCAGTTGTGGCTGAACGGCGAGCTGGGCCAGGGTGTGCTGCCCGTGCAGGGCCAGCAGCAAGGGCCAGGTGAGGCGGCTTGCTGGAGCAGGCTGGGAAGGAAGGGTCTGCAGGGGAGGCAGCCAGCCCCCTTGTGAGGGCCAGGAAGGGACCAGCTCCCAGTCAGCTGTTGGCTGCCCCCAAGGTGGAGAACACACCCCTCCTCCAAACCCGTTGCCACAGGATTGAACGGGTTTTAAGAGTGAAAAGATGGTGCCTGGCTAATTTTATAAGCAGCAGAAAATGAGTTGCCAATTAAGAAAGTGCTGTTGATACATAAATACAGGTAAAGTCAAGTGGCTAAATCAGGGACCGGAAAGAAAAGCAGCCACAGGCACAGCAGCAAGTGCCCCAGGCACCGACTCCTCCTGCTCCCAGCCCAGGACCTGGCTCTGGTGGGCAGCATTATCCAGGCCTAAACAACCCTGCCCTGTCCCGGCCAGGCCCTGGCATGAGCTGCGGGAAGCCAGCCTCCTCCAGGCCGGGCCTCCACTGCTCCCCTTCCTCAGCCCACTCAGCTAGGAGGCTCTGCCGGCCGCCCTCCCCTAACGCCCCTTTCCCTTCTTCTCCAGCCCTCCACTCGGCGACCTCGCTGCAGGACCCGCTCCAGCAGGGCTGCGTGAGCTCAGGTAACAGCCCGCTTCTCTCGATCCCTGCAAAATGTTCCCCTGCTTCCCCTGGTCTCCCTCTTCCCATCTGGGCCCGGCAGGTCCGTGGCCTGCCCTTTTGAGTCGGAAATAATACACTCCCCTGGCCACCACCTCCTGTCCTCTGTCTCGAGAATCCCATCAGGGGAGTCATCAGGAAGCCACCTCTGGGATCCGCTTTCCCACTAGAAGGTGTCGAGATCCCTCAGCCCGCTGTAGGCGGCAGCGAGAGTTCCCCATTGGTCCTGCGTACTGCCGTGCGGTTGTGCCAGTTCCTATTGCTGTCGCTTATAGGGCATTTTGGTTATTTCTGGATTTTGACTATTATAAGCCAAGTTGTTATGGATGGTAAAAAGAGAGAAAGGGACTCTAGGAGGGGATCGGCTGGGTGGGGGGCCGCCGAGCCATCCGCCACTCCCTGCGTTTCACCATAGTCCATCGGTGTCCAGACCCGGAGCCCCATGACTGGGGCTGGGGACAGAGTCAGGGACAGATTCCACGCGCAGTGCTTCCCGTCTAATAGGAGGAGACAGGGTGCGGGCATCACGTTCCAGCAGGGCTGAGGCAGGGGACATCCCATCTCGTTCTCGGGAGGCCTCTGGGCAGCCTGTGAGAGAGACACCAGGGCACAAGGAGTGGGACGACTGGGAAGAAAAGGCCCTGGGAACAGCTCATGCTGCAACTTGGTGGAGCAGTGGAGGGGCCTGCAAGGAGGGAGGGCAGGGGAGGTGCAGGGGAAGAGCAGGAAGGTGGCAGAGGAGGAGCAGGCTGAGGAGCAGGGCCTCCTCTTGGCTCAGGAGAGCCTCCATTCAGATATCTTATCTCCGCCCTGAGGACTCCTGTCCACCACTGCCCTGCCTGACCTCTGCTCCAGGCTCCCTCTGGTCCCCGAGCAGCTCTCCTGCGCCAGGTCCACGGCGTAGCTGAGTTCTTCTCACCCAGCTTCAGGGAACAGCCGGCATCGGGAGCAGTTCTTTTTTTTTCTTTCTTTATTTTTCTAAATATGCTGATTAGTCTCCATATCCCATTGATTCATTGAAAACACAAACAAAGCTAAGTGAGGAGTGCGAAGCCGCCAGCTTGCCGGGAAGTTTACGAGGGGACACATGTGCAGCGAGGGGAACAGCTGGTCTCCTCCGCAGTGGCTGCCGCGCAATCCCGGCCCACGCACAGATGCAGCCAGAGCCGGGCGGCGGCACCGGGTCCCCACTGGAGCTTCGTGTGGGTTGTAGATGTCCTGATCTGGCTTGTCCACAGTGAGGGACAGAAGGCCACGCCCCACCCACGCCATCCTCCTGCAGAAGGATCAGGTGCGAACGCTTTACGTCGGCCAGTTTGTTAGCCACTACTGAGGACCCCTGCCCTGCTACCTTGCATTCGGGATTGGAGAAGCAGTGATGTGCCTCAGCTTTGTGGACATTTGTGGAAAATCAGCCTTGCCTCCCACTTCCACAGGAAGTTGGCTTCCCCTTCAACTCCCGAGAGCCTTTGCTGCCCTGTCAGAGCAGGCTGGATGTGGCAGCTGGGGACATCACTTTCTAGATCAAAACCTCGTTTTCCTAAATAAAACATGAGGTCTCCATGGCCCAGGTCTCTTAGGATCCATGCAGAACCTTCTCGCTGTCTGAACACGTCCTACGAAGAGCTCGCCCTACTGTAGCAGAACGCTGCCTTGTTGGGACCTTCGCAGGACAGCTACGTTCCTCACACTGCGCTCCCGAGGAATGCAAGTGACATTTATAAAATACCGAGTTACTTTATAGAATAAAGTCATTTAACACTCTTGGGGCATCTGCAGATTGGAGAAGGGAGGGAGGCAGGAACCTGCAGAGAACCACGTGGCAGAATCACCCCTGGCTCTTACACAAGGGCCCGGCCCCTCCCAGTGCCACCGGACAAGAGGAGAGAGACCACAGGCCCCAGCACTCCTAGGGAGGCCACCAGGAAAAATAGCAATTAACAGCCACCACGGAGAAAAACGGGAAAGACTTCTCCCACTGCCGGAGGCGAAGCTTTTACATCATGGGGTAACCACAGAAGCCTGTCTTGGCCAGGGAGCTGAGGAGGGGCTTGTCAGGATGAAGACGCAGGCCCGCTGTGTCAGGATCAGAGCTGGGAGGTGCTGGTCTCCCTTGTCTGAAATGTCTTCATCCATTTTGTCTTTTCAAGAGAGTTTCTGGAAATTAAAGTACCTCTGCTCACAGTATACGGAACTTAGATTCAAACCTGGGACCGCCTGTTTCCGAGCAGTTGATGAATCCCTGGGCGAATCCCTGGGCTGAACGACTCTAGGCTCTTCCTTCGCACCTGTCAGTACGATTGCTCCAAAGGCAGACGAGGGAGCCTCCGTGGGATTCCAATCGCCCCTCACCATGGCTACCCCGGAACCACCCCAGGGGCCTCTCAGCTCAGAAAGATGCTGTGTCCCCAGTGGCAGCTCCATCCGGTCTGCCTGGAGTTGAGCAGCATGGTGGACCCAGGGGGCTGCAGGAGGGTGGTTCCAGCCTGGCCTGGTTTGTCCCTGGACAGTGGTAAGCGCACTCCGGATGAGAAATTTGGAGGACCTGCCTCCCACCTATGGCCAGTCGCACCTTCAGGGCGGGGTGGGCCTTGCTGCAGAGGTGGCCGTTGCCGTGGTGATGAGGCATGCTGGGGGTGGCCTCACTCCCCCAGGGCAGACCTCTGCCTCGGGAACCTCCTCCTCGCTTTCTGCCCAGGTCCACTGCCTCAGCATCCCTGTTCCTTAGTGACTCTTGTGTCATCCTCACTGACTAGGGTTAGGATAAGGCAAGAGGAGCCAGGTCTTCGTTTTCCTCTCGGAGGCCCTGATCATTTCAGAATGTGTCCCTGGTAATCTGAACATGGGGTATGAGGGCCTTAAAGGAATTCAGTGCCATTTTCAATGGCTGGCATTTAGTGACCCAGCTATTCCCTGGAGGCTGCTGAGGCCTCATTGAAGCGTCAGGTGGGCAGCAGGCTCCACGCAGGCATTCAGAGGAAGGAAGGGGGCCTAAAGGACAAATCAGGTCGGCTGCCAGTTCATGTGGTTCCTGGAAATCTTAATTTCCTACGTGTTGTATAATCTCTCAGTGTCCCCAGAGCTGGGGTAGGGCCCAGGTAGTTTCTACAGGAGGTCTTGGGTCTACTCTGGAAGCCGTGACTTACAGACGTGGTTGCAGGTGTCACTTGGGCACGGCTCCTTCTGTGTGTCTTCCATTCCTGTCGCAGCGCTGGGGCAGAGGAGGTGGCCCTGGGAGGTGGAGAAGGGGACGCTGGGTTTTCTCAGAGTGTGGCCACTGTGTCTGTTGGGAATTTCTTTTAAAGGGAAGCAAGTCCGCAGTGGTGGGCAGGGAGGGGTCCAGCGACAGACAGGCGTGGGGAGGCCCCTGGATCTGCTGGTTGCCTGGTCTTTAATCCTCTTCATTCCTTAAAGCAGGTGATGGATCTCTTTGCCCCCCAGGGAAGGGAGAAGAAAGCCAGGTGTAAAGAGGGAGGAAAAGGGGAAGGACGAGAGTCCCAGTTAGGGACAATCAGCCTCCCATGTGTCCTTGCTGCTGCACAAATGCCAACCCCTGGGCTTCTTCCCAGTGCAGTGGCAGAGCTGTGGGCGCCAAGTCTTGTCTGCCGTGGAGAATGTCACACCCACCACCACTGTCCATCAGCAGCTGTCTCCTGGAAGACAGCTGCTGCAGGCTGACTCTGCCATGGGTGGCCCAAGGTGCTCCCCTCCCTGTGTGACCTCCATGGAGCTTTGGGGGACCCACAGAGACAGGCCCAGGTGCCTTGATTAGTGCCCACCAGCTGGCACAAGGCTGTGTCCAGGGTCTGGGTACAGGAACTCTGCATTAGGGCTCTGCTGCAGTGTCCTGGTCTAGGCTGTCCATCCCAGGCTTCATGACTGAAGGCCATTCGGGTGGCGTGTCCATGGGAACAGAAGGGCTGGTGGCAGCCCCAGAAGATTTCATGGCTCTGGTCGGAGCTGGCGGAACTCTCCCTTGGGCGCCTCAGCCTGGATCTGTCTTCCTTTTCCCTTTGACGGGAATGAACCCGTGGGAGAGCTGCCGAGTGCTGCGCCTGGTGGGAGGAGAGCACATCGCCTGTGGCCAGTCACACGAGCCTGGACCGCGCCTCAGACCAACTGGGGAAGCCTGGAAAACTGTGTGTGGCCTGGGAAGCACCCCTCCCCAAAACAGATGGCCCCTGATCACAGGGCCTAGGGTGTCACTGGGGCACCACCTGCTAACAGGAGCGAGCGGCCCCTTGTTTCTTTCCTTCTTGGTGGCAGCCCACACTGGGACGTGTTTCCTATCAAGGACGGCACATTAAAGGACTTCAGGCCAAGGCCAGCAGGGACAGGTTCCTGGATACGGGCACAAGCTGTGTTCCTGGTGGCTGTTCCTGGCACAGGAGCAGTGCTGCGGGAGCCCCGAGGACAGGCCAGGACAGGCCCCGAGAAGGCGCCGGGGGCTCCAGGGTACAGAAGCTGGGATGAGGGGACCACGGCCGGCGGGTGTCGGGAAGAGGCGGAGTCACGAGGCTCATATGGAAGGCTTGCGTCCTTTTGAAGAAATCAGTCAGCTCCCACCCTCACCCCCCTGTTGCCCTCCCCAGAGCCCTCCCTGTCCCTTTGTCTCACATCCTGCTGGACAGTCACACGTTGGCTGTTTGTCCCACCCAGATGGAGCATGCAGGTGCTGTGCCTTGCTCTTTTCATGCAGCACAACGTCATGGGGACTTCCCTCCTCTGTTCACAGCTACAGGGGATCCTCATCTGGCTGCTCGTCTTATCCAACAGATTACCGCTGAAGGTTTCCGTGTTTCATTTCGCATTGCATGCCGGGGGTAGAGCCCAGGGCCTCCCACACTGGCCACAGCCCAGCTCCTGAGAGATGACTGGGTTGACTCTCTTTCCCCTCTTAAATGGTGCATCATACTCATGCATGATGATGGGGTTCGTTATCACATATTCGCACATGGTCATA